CATTTTTGTGTGGCAGAGCAATATAGATCTGTTGTAAATAATTTTCAGCACTAACAGTTCTGTCAAGGAGACAGTGTGACGATGGAGGATTTAGCCTACAACTCGGATTTCCTGGCTTTGGGTTCATTCATCTCTAATAACACTGGACCAAAGAGAAAGCACAGCTGGACAACACACATGGTGTCACTTCTGCCTAATAGATGTTACTAACAGCTGGCCAATAGCAACATGAGGCATGAAATTCCACATTATGATTGGTTCCTTTAGTGCAACAGAGACCATTGTACTGCCTCCACCCTGATCAGACAGCCCAGCCTTTTTCTTTGTTAATGTTAATGAAATGTGACATATCCAGGATGCCCATAGCCTGCTAATCAGCAATAATCCTATCCAAGGGATTAGAGAATGGAAAGCAGGTAAGATTCTATTTACAGCACATGTGCCTCCCTTCTTCCAGAGCGGAGCCATCTTTCAGTCTGTCTAGCATTCATTATTGAGGCCTATTAAAAATACACTGTGACCTTTTAGACATTTTTTTATTTTATACCTGCTGTCAATGGAGATCAATTTATTTAGGTAATTTCTCTGACAACAGGCCTTTTTTTGGGTCCTTGTTAAAGTCTTCTTCTACGGTTGGCTGTTCCCGTTAGGGGTCGCTACAGCGAATCATCTGTTTCCATCTAACTCTATCCTCGGCGTCCTCATTGAAGTGTTGCGCTGATAAGACAGTTCCTCTGACAAAATCTGGGTGTGTTTTTGATGTTATCCTAATCTGTCCTTTTCCTTTTGTGGTATTATGAAGCAGGACGGCCTGTGACTATCCACTGCTCTCTTCATGCCTTTCCTCTTCTTCTTCTTTTTTTTTTTTTTTTTTTTCTCTCCCCTGGTTTTGGTGTGGTGACATACCAGGAGCCAAAATGCTTAATCAGAGTGCTGTGATGATCTTCACTGGGATTTGTGGAGCGTTGGTGGTCATGGCAATGGTCTACTATGTCTATTGGTAAGATGACTTGGTGTGTGGCAACAACAGACTAGGATGGTTCCTGCCAGATTTATTCCAACTCATAAAAGAGAGAAGTCTACATCACACTTGGGGTCATTACTCGGTTGTTCACATTAGTAAGTGGAGTGCAGACCTTTGCAAGTCAAACATTTTTTTTTTTTTTTTTTTTTTTTAAAGACTGTACAACAATTAGAGGTGAGGTAGCTGAACTTTGCCAGTATTTAGCTGGCATCTGTTAAGGTGCATTTCAACAGTATTTTCTTATATCAGACTTGTTGCTAGCTATGTTTACATGTAGACATAGGAACTGTATTTAGGTGATGCAAAGCAGAAACTGCTGTCTGGCCATAAGCAGCTTTAACCCAGTCAGCATCTCTAATCTTTCAGCCAGGCTGAGGGGACACATAGGTGGGCCTTGCACCTTTAGGGAGTAGCACCTCTATTGGTTCTTTTCACAGTCAAACCCAGTGGTTTTTACTCTGGACTGCTTTAATCCCTTGTATTTTCCCTTGTACTTCACTGCAATACAAATATGGTCTTTATAAGAAAATTACTAAAGTTTGGTTAAACCCACATACAACAGGGACAGGGCTGTGTATTGGCAAGAATCTGGTGATTTGATACATATCAACACAGGGGTTATGATTTGATATATTGTGATACTATAAATAAGGTGATGTATTGCAGTTTTTAAACAAATTTTAGAAAAATTGTCATAAAATAAACAACACACCACCACATACATATAATCTCCTGTAAAAAAAAGTTTTCTTTTTTTATTCAGTAGAACTGAGATTTGCATTTGCCACAGTCCCTGTAACATCCAACAACATAACACTACTTGGCATATAAACTATTAGTTAAAAATTATACTGTGCTTTTGAGAATCGACACAGTATCACAAAATATAATATTACAATAGTCACATTTTGGCCATGCAACTGTTATCTGCTTACCTGTGATACAGAGAGTGACTTGCTTTGGCATTATAGCTTCTATAAATCATTTATGGTAGTTGAGATTTTTTTCACACAATGTATATTAAGTCCACTTTTGTACTAGTAGAGCCTGGCTCAGTGGGTTGCTGTTGCAGGAGCTGTGTAGGACACATTTCTGCAGTTTTCTACTTAACTTTTTTAATAATTGGATGCCCGAGGTGTTTGTAACATCCTCTGTATCTGTATTCTTTTAGCATTCATCAGTTTGGCTTTAAACAGGCTCATGAATTTGATAGATTTGTTTTTGATTTGACAGACTCAAAGCAGTACTATAGAAGATAAGGATCTGCTGTTTTCTAGATGTCTCCAAAGTGTCTTACTGAATTAAACAATGTAAATTGTTTATAAGTTCATTGCCACTTTGTTTATTAATTGCTTTTTGCTGTATTGGTACAGAGGTTTTCTGTTAGCGAGGTATGTTTGTACTCTGTCACTCTAATGATGTGAATGAAGTCTCAGCCTGTAGCTCTGACAGTTTAACTTTTTTGTAGATGAACTTTCATGAAATGCCATTGCCATAGGTTTATGTGATGACAGTTGAATAAAGTGCCAGACTCATTCACTATACATTAGACCTAGCACAGTGCCAGGGCCTACTACTTGCCATTTTTGTCGTCTACACATTAAAACTGATCTGGGTGGACTCTGGCTACTTCTTACCTTGCCTAGTTGATGGTGCACCAGTGAGATGTTTGTAACCAGTTATCCATATTCTTTTGATGTCTTCATGATTAATTAGTCTTTGCACAGTTTACATACATCTATGAATCACATCTTCGATATTCTGCTTCATTCAGGTGCAGCTGTGTTCAGCCCCTGCTTGGTCTGCTTATACTGAAGGCTAAAGCTGTCATGTACATTGAAGTAAAATGTTAACATTAGTGATAATGGTGAACATGCACACTCAAGTTCTCAGAGAAATATGTTGAATGCTGGTGGTTAGTTGCTTTCTGCAGTGTTATATTTTGAGGTGGCATGAATACACTCAAAGTCAGTATGACACATTTTATGCTATAAAGTCTTCATTTCAACTTGACTGAAATTTTGTGGTTATTCCAAGGTGTATGATTCATGAAAGCACAGAGAGCCTGCAGCATAAAGAAGTGACCGTGGAGGAAAATGAGGACAAAGTTCATGGCACGTTTGTCAGAGCTGTTGCACAGAGTTGAGTTGTCACAGCAAAACTTGGCCCAGGAACAACTTTGCTGTCTGCATGTGGCTAAACAACACAGGCTGAAATGTGAAGGGTTTTGCTATCTCTAGCAGTTTTCTAGTCTCCACAAGCTAATTGTGATACATTACTTATGAGAATTGATAATAATGGATAATCGTACTCTATATTCTTTGCACTAAGGCTGACAAATAATGAGTAGATTTTATTTTTTTCATGTAGGTCTGCGTTAACATTTCATGCATGCTCCAGGGTGTCATTGGCACAGCAGTGAAATAAGTCTTTGTATATGTTTTGCCTGTAATTATAATCAGAAGTAGTCATTATAGATGATTACAGAGGAGCAATAAGAGCGAGTGATTTTCTAGGCACTAACTGTGAAACATTTCTCTACTACCCATTCTAGACTTGCTTTAGTATTGTCCTTAATGCATTCATGTTCTTCCATAACACATGTACAGTATCAGTTGTATTTAACGGACACAGCCTTCTTTAATTCGTCAGTATTGTCTATTGTCACTTATCCAAAAGATGTTACCAAGCCCCCAAGTGAAATGTGCAATAATGTAACCCCTGCCACTCAGTCTCCCAGCGTGAACAATGTTCACATCTGTTCCACAATGCAGAGACAACTATGTATGTTTGTATGTACAATCCGAACCATACGGTGGTACATGCTGCACAAATGCTTGCACTTTAACAATGTCCTAACTCCAGAGGTTTAGAAACATTTTTGTGTTTGACCCAGGAGACTGAGCTGACGTTTATTATTAGGTTTATTATTTGTCAGGAATCAGGATAAAATTAAAGTCATGTCACTATATAACTGTTAGGATTTCATGGGTATCCGCTCTTTCGCTGCACATTTAGAGGTGTGTTTCTTTATGAAATTGCACTTTGTGTAATATTTGAAGGAACAAAAAGGTAGATGTCCTGTGAACATCTACCTTGGTGTGACACTTTTTTTCTCTTTTTTTTGGTTTTCTGCTAACACAGTGTAGCAGTTAATGCAGGTAACAGTACATATGCTGCTAGAACTGCACAGAGAGCCATGTAGAAACTGGGAGCAAACACAAGTTGAGCTCCCACAAACTTAAGTGCAATATTAATGCTTTGATTTTAAAGTGCTTGAATCAAAATAACGGGTTCATGGGTAAATTGTGTGATTAATCACAGGTTTGCTTCAAGCTGCTTTAGAATGGACTCTTATTTATTCATTTAGGTATTTGTTTTGTTTTAAGTGCAAGAAGACACTGACTTTATGGTAAAAATGAACAGATCCTTAGGGGCAGACCTGAAAATGTGTTTGTTTTTTTTGTTTTTTTGTTTTTTTTTTGTTAACTGGCTTAAACTAACACTTTATGGTGTTTTTCCATCGGTACAGATCAGCCTGCTTTAATCATGCCAAGCCAGGCAGGCACAGGTTGGCCTCTGGTTCCATGTGCTCCTACTGTATCAGCAGGGAACCAGCTTGGGTGCAGCCAGACCTGCTTCTTCTGTCCAGGGCCAAGCACCGCCTTAAACCGAGCTGGGACATCAAGACACGTGATTGGCTTAAATGTTACGCTGGGGGAACGTCCTTACATGGTCTACATTGACTTCTTATCATTTTACTGCAGCAAGATTTTAACAGTCTCTCATTTGGTCTTCTAATGATGGGTTAAAATAATGCCTAGTACCAAAGGGCTCCATGTTGCAAACAATGAGTTATTTTCTTAGTGACTGGTGCTGCCCCCATGTGATTAAGATGTGGAAGCTAAACAATGTGTTTTATGGTACAGTGGGAACCCAGCTGTGCTGATTTGGCACGGCTCTGCTCAGCAGGGCTGACCTGTACTGATGGAAAAACACCATTAATGGGCTTTAGTGCAGATCTGGCAACAGTCCGTTCAAAGCCAGCTGACTTCAGGTCAACCCATACAATGAGTAGAAAAAAAGGCTTGATGTTTTTGTCGATGGCCTTGTAGTGACATTGGTTATACAAACTGTCTCTGGCCAGAACATCATGTAATATGAGATGGTCTTTAACAAAACAACATCTAGTAGGCACTTGGCTGTTTGACAGCGCACATTATATACACATTATCATTGGCAGGTGCCTGCATAATACTTGCACATCTTTCCCTTGTGCATTCATTCTGTATATCTTGCTTCTATTTGATCAGGCCATCCCTGCTTTGATCAAACAAAGTCCTGGTCCCTACCTAGTGGAGCTCTTTGTCAGACAAGCACACATCCTTACCTAGGGGCAATTAAATGATGCATTAATTAAATTTGTCCTGTTAACCTGTTGCAGGAAACTGGAGCACTCAAAAGAAACTCACAGGCATCATGTTTGTCATGGCAGGCAGCACATGACGCACTACTCGGCATCTCTCAAGGCTGTGACTGTTTGGTACATTTTCTAGATCAGTTAGTCTGTTTAGTCAAACGTCTTCATATTTCTGTCTGTCTGATCTTTTGTCCAAAAGCTGAAGGTTTTTAAATAAAACTGATACAAAAGGCAAATTTTTACTGTTGAGAAACTATAATGACTAAAATTAAACCCCAATTCTATAAACTTTATGCTGCATCTTGTTGTATTTTAACACGTGCACAGTACTAACCACTGAGCTGCTGTGCTGCTGAGATCAAACTCAAGACAGCCACGAAAAAAAAACTCATTCATTCTCTTTGTGTAACGTGATTTTTGCCACCCATGCTCGTAACGACAGAAGCTATGTCTGTTCTGTGTGGTTAGCTAACACAATTCAACCCGTTTGATGAAACGAGCACATCCCATTTCATTAAATTCTGCTATAATAACACAGTCCTGTATCCTTTTTAAATTTATTTCTTTGTCCCCCCAACCTCTCTTCTGCTGTCTTTCTCAGGTCTGTAGTATTGGCTGAAGGACCGTGTAAACGCGGCTTGTAAGAGGATCCCATCGTGGTGAGAATCGGTTTTCTTTTAGAATTTCTGAAAACAGGATGTAAACAGGCCACATTGTTTGCCAACCTGCCTGTCTGTTATTTTACCCCATGCCCTGTTTTGCTCTCCTTTCCTTCCTACATCTCTGACTGAAGTTTTTGGCATTGCTGTGGCACTGCCTCCTCTGTTACCGCCCTTTCTCAGGTTGGCCGTAGTGTATAGAGAGGAGCCTACTCAACTCTCCAGGCTCCTCAGTCATGGCTCTGCTGACCTACCTGAAGAGCCTGTTCATCCTGCAGTTGCTGATGGGCTTTGTGTTTGTGGTGAGCGGCCTCATCATAAACTTCATTCAGCTCTGCAGCTGCATCCTCTGGCCTATCAACAAACAACTCTACCGCAGAATCAACTGCCGGCTCGCCTAATCTCTCTGGATAGATGACACTCTGAGGTTGTTGCTGTGAAACTAATTTTCTTTATTGCAAATACTCAGTTTTATATTTCAAAATATGTAAATAAGTGTAGCACCCTTCTCACTCTACCCAGGAGGGGCACCAACTAGACGAGTTAGAATGAGGGATGCTTGGGTTTGTTGAACCAAAATTAAAATTGATAACCCCTATAACTAGTAATGAGGACTTGTAGTATGGTGCTTGAGGAAGGAAGATAGACCCAGCGATGGCTTAATTATGAACGCATGGCTTAGGCCGGATTTATTAGACCAAGACAACTAAAATGACCTCTTATGAGTACAAAACCAATGAGTAAAAGAAAGAATGATAAAGGCAGTAACAAAAAGAACCAAGATTACCAGATCGGTTTCTACCCTCTAAATGAAATGTCTGCGCTCTCTGAGTTAATTAGTCACTAGCCCTACCACTGAGGCAGTCCCGGTCGCCCCGTTTAATTAGGTCCAGAACACCGTCTCAACAAAACACACAGTGCTCAGTCACTTAAAAGTTACTCACGACACTCTCTTGGGGTTATCGTTGCAGGCCTGTTTCAAACTTTTGAGTGCGACACATTGCGGCGTCCTCACAATTTGAGTGCGATACCAAGTGAAGCCCTCCCCAATTGAGTGCATCGAACCACGAAAACTTTAACTATTACCCGAACCCCAGAGTACGTTGCGAAAGAGATTACTCTCTCTCAGGGCCTCCTTTGGTAAACCACTATCTAAAACTTCGCCCCACTAACCCAGTTGGGCTCTCACCAGAGCCGGCTAGCACGGCTCAAGCTAAGCGCCGCTCACCATCCTCAAAGTCAGCTTACTATTTCCGCCTCACAGCTCCCACACGGCAAACCGGCTAGCTCATCCGGCAAAAGTTTGCCACAGTCTTTGTGCCCGGCCCTGGGCAAAGTTCTCCGTCTCTTTTCAGTCTCTTTTTTTTTCCTCTTCTCTCCCTCTTCCCTCCTAGCCACTTCTTTCTCTTTTTTCTTCATTACCCCCCCCCCCCATTCCACGAAGGCCACACA